TTTCTTAGCTTCATGCTTAGAGCAGATTTCAAATACTTCTTTTTAATGTGATCATTCTATCTGTGACCATCAGCTTTCAGCAGTAGCTGATTAAATTCAGGTAGAAAGTCAAAGAGAGCTCTTCTACTCTGTCATAGATTATTAAGCTTTTGCATAGTCTTTTCCTGTTGTGCAGAATCACTAAAGAGCATGTGTGTCTGCTTCAGTAAGCTCTCTACTGTGAAGTTAATCTTGTTCTTATTATTCTCAACTCAGAGGTAAACTCAAGCTGCTGTCATTCTTTTCAGTCTTGAGTACACATACCAAGTACATTCCTCATTATTACTTAAAGCTTTCCCATCAATCTTAAGTTTTGATTGAAGCTTTAGCTCTCACTGAGGGTAGTGCTTCAGATTAGAATCATCATACTTCTCACAGTCCAGTAGCTTGGTCTTTGATCTTCTGACTGCAATGAGTGATTGCAGATTTGATTGAGAGAGGATTGATGTTGAGATATTTAAAGCTTGTCATAGATTAGCTATTTCAGCTTGCTGAGCTGCTATTAAATCCCTGTTCTCATACTGGACCTGTTTCTGCTGTTGGAGAAAGATCATTCATTGTTATTCAAAGCTGCTGAGAGTGTCTCTGCTTATTGCTTTGTGTTGATTCATTTATTATACAAGTCTACTGCTTTATCTCATTTGACTAGATGTTTTCAATGTTGCTCATTCATTTGTTAACATGATTGCTAATCCAGTCTATTCATATATCAGTGCTATCACTGAACTTCATGATGCAGAATTTAAGACTCTCAATAGTCTATTATATGTTAGCATGTTTGCTGAGCTTCATGATACAGGATTAAGACTTTCAGTAGCCTATCAATGAAAGGAGTGAAGCAATTTGTAATGTAAAGAGTTAAGCTCTAAGAACTAGAGGCTAGTCCTCCTATATAACAAGAATGAATTGCTTGAGAAAGAGAAGAAAAGAATGAGATGAGAACTTGAGCTTAAGCAAGCTCATGTAGCATGATCACGTGCGCACGTGCGAATGATGGCTAGGCTGAGTCAGCGAGCCAGAGCAAATCTAGAGGTTCAACCTCTTATAGTAATGAAAAGGCAGATCTTGAAGTCAAAGCAGCTGCAGCACAGACAGCAAGTGCAAGCATGATATCTCAACCTGACAGCATAGACACTCTAGTTTATATAAAGCAGCACACTATGAAACAAATCACACAGGTCTTTGAGAACTACTGGGCCAAAAATCAGTTCAAACACTATATGAAGCTGGAGATCTCACTAAAGAGAGCTTCAACAGAGGTAAAACTTTCACACTTCACATTAGGAAAGCTCTATGCTGTCTGATCAGATCATGGAGACTTTGCAGCCTATCACAGTCATTTTAAGCATGAAGATGCAGAGTGCTACTGTTGATGTGATCATAGCAAAATCTCTGAACATTTCTACTATTGCACTCTTGCAAGAAAAGCAGCAAAGTGACACTGATCTATCTACAATCTTTGTGAGACACTGACAATCTCATGTGAGACTCTAGAATTCAATAATTGACTAAGAGAAACAGTCTTCTATCAGAATATCTGTTCAATGCACTGTCACATATCTTCAGATCAGATTTCACAGATCATTCTCTTCTCTATCTTGCTTCTGTTCTTCTCATCAACTTCTTCTTCTTCCTCTCTTTTCTCTCTCTTCTTTTCTTTCTTGCCTTCCTCTCTATCTGTCTTCTCTACCTCTCTCCCACAAATCTAAAACCTCTCAAAACCTTTGCTCTATGGCAACTGACTCATGGGCTCTGCTGATGCAGTAATACACAACCTTTTTGTCTCATTTGTAAGATAGCTACTAGATAGATAGTCATCTACAGACACAGCTCTACCCACCCTATAGTTTGATGCAGACTCTACTAGATCACGTGCTCATAAGGCACATGGACTAACTGGGTGTTAAATAAAAACACACACACACACACACACATACAACTAACTAACATAATTTCACACCGGGTCAGCCACCACACTGAGTCAGCTAGCAAATTCACTGAGGCTTGAGAAATTGAATAACTGGCTGTTCAATAGACTCTGCAGACTCTATAGAGTCTACTAGAAGACTTTGAACTTCTTCACTAGTTAAACCTTCTACTTCCTGCTCAATTCAGTGCCTAGATCTCTTGTACTTTTGCTTCTCTATCTTATTGATGTTGAATATATTCTGGTATTGCTTCTTTATAATTGTAGCACTGACCATCTTATATTCACAGGTCTTGATAATTTGATCAAAATCTTTCACAAAGTCTTGAGGCTGACTTTTCACTAAGTACTTGATCTTATTTATCTGTCAATATAATTGCTGGGGATTACTAAGTGTTTGAAACATCCAGGATATAGTTGAATTGCTAGAGCTGCTGTATGAAGAGGTAGAAGTTTATAGTTGAATATTCAGTTGTTGAAGAATGTAGTCAGACTGAAAAAGCACTATCTCAGTTGTCTTGAAGTCATTTTGAATAGTCTGAGATTTAAAGGCTGTAGTGCATGCTGTAGAATAGATATCTAAAAAATCTGCCTTCTGAATGACATTAAATTCAAGTCACATTCACTGCTGAACTAGATCTCTGTACACTTACTTTAAAACTGAAAAATCACCTATATCTAGTGACTGCAGAAGGTGAGAGGAATGAGATGACATACAAAGACATATTATAGTATTATCCTTGCAGATTTGATTAAATTCTGAAGTAAGATGACTACTATACTTGTTCAGAATAAGAAAGATAAATCTGTCAACTCTGTAAGAATTTGTTGCTGAAATAAACATCTGTTGAAGTCATCTCAAGTCTATTTCATCAGTAATTCAGTCATTTAAACTGACATCTAGTCTCCAGCCCTCTGGAAGGCCTTCAAACTAACCTTTCAACAAGTTCTGACCTTTGAGAATAAGATAGAGAAGTAAAGCTCATCTTAACATATTGACTGATTCAATTATAGTCACTTATTCATAGTTTTCAGACTGTAGGAGCTTTGCTCTGTCATAATACTCACTACTAGTAATGACCTTAATAGTGATACAGAGCCCCATAGCAAAGTCAGTCTCATTAAAGTTGTATATATTCTTTGACATAATCTCATACTCAGTAATTATATCTTCTAAGATATTAAATCAATTCTTTATAACCTGCTGATCTTCACACTTAGCTTAATCATGATTACAGTATCTGAAATAGTGGCTTCAAAGCTCTATACAATGTTTAATTAGCCTTGAAATCCAATTCTTGCTGACCTGAGAGAGGAAGGTAGTAAAGACAGTAGAATTCTGTAAGATAAGAAGATAATTAGTAATATCTTCAACAAATACCAGCTGAGGGGGAAATTCTCATTTAGCTTGGTCCAGCACTCATTCAACTAGGCTATTCTCTTCAGCAGCAGATAATTTGTGAGAGTTTGCACATAAATTCACCTGTGAGGGCCAATGCTTGAAGTGATCTTGAAAAGTAGACCTAGACACATTATATAGCTTTTCAGCTTCACAAATTAAGAGCTTTTCATCATTTTGAATAGATTTTATCATGAGTTCAATCCTCCCCTCTTGCTCAACTGAATTTGAAGACTTTTTCTTGCATTTTGGTGGCATAACTACACGTTGAATTGAATGAGCAGTTAAATTAGTAGGTGGAGAAATTTGGTGGCCAACTCAGTGTGGTGGCCGACTCGGTGTGGAATTACGTTAGTTAACTAACTAGTTATAGTTAGTTAGTTAATAGTTAGTAGTAAACTTGTGGCCAATTGGCCCTGCCCCGAGACGGGAAATTGAATTCGGAAGCTGTGATTGGGCTGAGCCGAGCCAAACGAACCTGCCAAATGTCGAGTTTTGTTTGTTCTTCGACTCCGGTCCAAGCAGGAGAACGATGGGATTAAACCTGTTGACCACCTGGGAATGTTGCAGCCCACTCACAACCCAACCACCGGTGGACCCCCTTTCTTCCCCCTTTTCCCCTCCGCTTGGTTGTGCTTTTTGGCCATAGACCAACCATTTCCCAGCTCTGGACAGGCACTGTCGGATTAGCATATCCGGATGCTTGCATAATGAGAACTCTATAGATCCTCCCCTTCTTGGCTATTGGCACCTGATCAGAACCCCCAACCCGGCATCTCGTTATTCCTGCATCGCATCTCTCTTCACCCTGGGGTTGTGTTGAAGGAAATAACGTTGACTGAACACCGCCGAACGCCCAACCCCACATTCTCGAGCTGTTTCAAACAGGCCCAAACACTCCGGGGGTGCCGCCGCTAGTACAGAACCGTTTCTTCTCCAAACGACGAACGACAAACCTGGGAAGCCTGACGCTGCGTTATCTCTGCGTTATCTCCCCGTTTGCCTCGAAGGGTTTGACACACCATCATCTACTTAAAATCTACATCTCTTCCCGCTCCGCCCTCTCCCTCACCACTGCTTACAGTCTGTCTTCCTTCCTTCCTCGCTCCCTGCCAGTCGACGTACATGCGATTTTTACTTGTAACGTACATCTTCATCTAGCTCCTCCGTCCGTGATTCTGGATGACATCTTAAGAACTTGGTATATTGTGCTTGGGAGGGCTTGGCAAGAGAGGCGCTCTGCCCTTTCGAGCTTATGATCTTGCGGACGCTGCTTGGTGAGTAGTTGAGTAGTTGACAAAAGAGAGAAGGATTGCCCCCTAAACCAAGTGCTTCATGTCGCCTGACATCCACGACAAGAGAAATCCACCTTGCCTATCTCCACCTGACTTGACACCCTTGATCTGCCCTTTACCCCCCTTTACCTTGTCTGTCTTCCTTACCCTTCTGCCTGCAGCCTGCGCTGACTGGCCCTATATAAGGAACAATCTTAAGTTTTCAAAAGGAGTGCGTGCCTTGGCCGGGGGTGCGCGCGCGTGTGTATGTGGTGTGGTGTGTGTGGGGCGTGTGTTCATGTTTACATTACACCTCAGAACTGCTAAATACTGCTAAAATACATACACACATACATATACAATGGCCTCTCCTCTCTCTCTCTCCAATTCCACCATCACAGCTGCAGCACCATGCGACTCCGACTGCAGCGACTCCTTTAAAGACAACCCGCGACTAACCGTAACCTCACCCCCTTCCCCAACCAGGCGCCGGGGCCAATCCACCCGCTTCTCAGAGCCGGATATCCGCTCCTGCCTTCCCCACCATCTCACAGATGTCGCTACCCCTGCTGTCATGGACGAGCGAACAAGCCTACTAGGCGCCAGCGACGACGGCAACAGGGCATACACAAGTATCCCCAACACAAACATCCTGCCCACATGCAGTCCCCGCTCGCCCAATTTCCACAGACACCACAGCACGACTGGCAGCCTGCGCATACCCAGGAACCACAGCCGCGCCAACTCGCAGGCTGTCAAGTTGGGCGGTGGGCAGCCTGCTGAGTGGTCGCGGACGGACACAGGCGCACGCGGCGGAGGGGTCTACTCGTACAAAGCGTCCAAGCATGGTAGTGGTGGTGATGGCGCATCATTTTTGGATGATAGAGTCTGGTATGACCAGTTTACGTCTACGGACTGGGTACACGATAGCATTGCGGATGGCATACGGCTGCGAAACTTGCGGAGCCGCAGGGATATTCGCGGGCGGATACTGGCGTGGTTGGATGGGGCGCAGGGGTGGATTCTTGTCGCGGTGATTGGGATAATAACGGCGTGCGTGGCGTATTTTGTCGATGTTACAGAGACTGCGATGTTTGATGTTAAGGAGGGTTTTTGTGTGGGGAACTGGTTCTTCAGCAAGAAGCGGTGTTGTCTGGTGGAAGGGTCGGAGGAGCGAGAGTGTGAGGCGTGGCTGTCGTGGGCGGAGATATTGAATGGAGCGTCTTCGTCGTCGATTGATAGGCAGTGGGTTGATTTTATAGCTTTTGTCTTTTGGGCTGTGCTGCTTGCTGCGCTTGCTTGTGTGCTCACGATGCTTACGAAGACGGTTGTGCCATCGTCTGTTTCGTTGTCGACGTTGGATGAAGATCTGGGTGCGCAGGTTAACGATACGCCTAGCAAGTCACCAATTACGGATCGGAAAAGTGGTAGTTCTTCTGGCCAGTCGCCGCCGAGGAAGGACGTTGCTCCGCCTATGGTTTACTTCTCTGCTGCTGGAAGTGGGGTTGCAGAAGTGAAAGTGATTCTTAGTGGGTTCGTGCTTCATGGATATCTTGGTTTTAAAACGCTGGTCGTTAAGACGTTGGCACTGGTTTTGGCTGTTGCGTCGGGATTGAGTGTTGGAAAGGAAGGGCCTTATGTTCATATCGCAGCTTGCATTGGAAATATCTCCTGTCGTATTTTTTCAAAGTATCACTACAATGATGGCAAACGACGGGAGGTGCTGAGTGCTAGTGCTGCCGGCGGTGTTGGTGTTGCCTTCGGCGCTCCTATTGGAGGTGTCTTGTTCAGTCTGGAAGAAGTCAGGTAAGTTAATCTTTTCCTTTTTTTTTTTTTTTTTTTTTTTTTTTTATTATTATTATTATTATTATTATTATTATTATTATTATTATTATTTTTTTTTTTTATTCAGATGGAAAACGTTGCTGGCAAGAGATGTTGGACTGACAGTATAAAATCCAGCTATTATTTCCCCCCCAAAACCCTCTTTCGAACATTCTTCTGCTGCATTGTAAGCCTCCACCCCAGTTTCCGACCTTTCCTTGATCTATAACTGACATATCCAAGGCCGCCGCGCTCTCCCTGAAATTCTTGAATCCATATGGCACCGGTAAAATCGTCTTATTTGAAGTTCGCTACGAGTCAGACTGGCAGGTCTTCGAGCTTCTCATATTTACCCTCCTAGGAGTTCTTGGAGGTGCTGCAGGTGCTCTGTTCATTAAAGCCTCGAAAATCTGGGCCCAGTCATTTCGTCGAATCCCAGTAATCAAGCGCTGGCCACTATTGGAGGTCGTCCTGGTCTCCCTGATAACGGGTCTAGTTAGCTTCTGGAATCGCTATACGAAGTTACCCGTCTCTGAGCTTCTCTTTGAGCTAGCCAGTCCGTGCGGCTCATCCCAGTCGAGAACTGGCCTATGCCCTCCAGCTGACCAGATCCCCGAAGTGATCCGCTACCTCGTCGTTGCCTTCGTCATCAAGAGTCTCCTAACCATTGTAACATTCGGCATCAAAGTGCCCGCGGGAATCTACGTACCGTCAATGGTCGTTGGCGGTCTTCTGGGCAGAATCGTCGGCCACATTGCACAGTACTTCGTCGTCCATTTCCCGGACTCTTTCCTCTTTGGAAGCTGCCCCAGTTCCCCTGATGCCTTCTCCTGCGTAAATCCAGGTGTCTACGCCCTTATCGCCGCTGGCTCAACAATGTGCGGCGTCACACGCCTCTCCGTCACGCTGGTCGTAATCCTGTTCGAATTGACAGGCAGTCTCGACCACGTCCTTCCCTTTTCCCTTGCAATCCTCTGCGCCAAATGGACCGCGGACGCAATGGAACCGCTAAGCATCTATGTACGTATCATTCTGGTGGAAAAACAATCACTCACTTCGTTCCACACCGTTAACAAACACCATCCCAGGATCTCCTCACGGATATGAACTCCTACCCATTCCTAGATAACAAACTCCACCCCACCTCCGACATCGAACTCGTCGAAATCGTTCCGCGCGTCCGCAAAAACCGCGTAATCGACATCTCCAACTCCCCCTTGGTCCCCGCCACAGAATTGCGCGAGAAACTCGACGTCCTCCTCATGGCTGGCGAGCTGGACGGTGGTCTACCCATACTCCGCAAAAATATCCTAGTCGGCCTAATCCCGGCTCCAGAACTTGGATTCGCTCTCGATAGGCTTGAAAATGAAAAGGAGGCGATGTGTCTGATGTGTATTGATGCGTCGTATGGCGGGTGGGCTGGTTCGGATGTACAGGACGAGCATTCGAACGGGCTAGCGGATTTTACGCCGTATATTGATCCGGTAACTATTTGTTTTCCTTTGCTCCGTTGCTTTGATATATATATATATATTGGAAGCCGTGTTTATGTCTTTGCTGCTGCTTTACTAAATACAGATAAATGATTACTTTTTAGGCGCCTGTCTCATTGGATATCCACTCGCCTATCAGCCTTGTGTATCAATGCTTTGTCAAGTTGGGACTACGGTACATGTGCGTCCTGCGCGACGGACAGTTTGCTGGGCTGGTGCATAAGAAGTCCTTTGTGAAGTTTATGAAAGAGCAAGAAAAGATTCGCAAATGAAAAAGGTTTGAGTTCATAATTGAAAAAAGTGAAAAGTGAAATTTAGGTGTGAACTCGATTCATAGATTTTCATTCCTTTTTCCCCTTATTTTCATAAAGACTTCTGGTGATAGATCTGCCTATTTTTGCATATTTCCTCGCTTCTCTTGTTGTTTCTTCTCTCCTCTTCTCTTTGGATTTTCTTATGGATTATTTGTCAGGGATATCATATTGGTTTTATTCCTCCACACTTTGGTTACTTCATCTTGTCCGTTCTCGCGTCACTGCCGTCCCCCCTCCCCCTCCCATCTACGTTTCTTTTATCTATGAGAGAGTCTCTGTTGCATATTATTTGGTCGAAGCTGGATTCGCATATATATATTCATGTCTATATCATTAGCTTCAGTTTTCTTTTCATTGGATAGTACAAATCTCCTACACTTTTAGCCCGTGTCTCCCCTTTCTAATCCTCAAATTTACGCATTTCACAGGCGTTTGTGGATTCCTATGGCTCCTTGCCATAGTTGAAGGTGTTACATTGTCTTTTCTTTCTATATTTCCATTTTTCTTTCGTTGGAAGGTTTAATGGATGTTCCGATCTCCGCATACCGAGCAGATTTGTCACCTTCTTGGCCTTTATCCTTCCAGAGACGCATTTGCTTGCTCCTCTATTAATTATCCCTCCATCGGATCTTTCTTTCCCTCTTGTTTTGGTATTTTGAAGTCATATCTCCACTGGCTGCTGCTGGTTTGTTTAACCATCCAGGAAGAAAACAAGACCGAAGAAAATCCGTTCTCCAGCCCCCACTTACACTGTAAATAGTATGTTGACATATCAGTTCACCAGAGGAGTCATTAGCTCACTTTATTCATGCGCATTACGGCACAGCCGTCCATCCTCCCGCTGCATCCATTTCTAGGGCCCAGCTGCCATCCGTCCACCATAGAGAACGTCTTGGGGATCATATTTTGCCTTAATACGAATCAGTGAGGGATAATTGGCGCCGCCATAAAAGGCGCGTTGGAAGTTGGGGTGGTATGGATCGGGCTGGCTAAACGGGATAAAGTATCCTACTATATTTCCCGCAGGAAAAAATATATGATATTGAAACAACAAGAGAAATCGTCGAGGAAACTATAGGAGGGAGAACGGGGGATGGTTGTAACTCACATGTGGTCTGGCATGCTGACATTGACAGCAAGGGTGATGTAATTTCCCAGCGTGCATAGTTTAGAGACTGGGTGAAGAAGGGGTCGCAGGTGCCGTTGGCGAAGAATGGGGCCATGAAGATTCATACCTATTGGGTGTTTTTTTTAGTCCTAGTTTGGTTTACCGGATGATGCATGGTTTGGATTGACATCTAGTTGATCAAACGTGCTGCCCCTCTGGAAACTCCCCCTGTTGGCGCAGGTTGTCGTATTCCGTGGAATTGTGGTTGGGCAGGTAGTTAGCAGGGCGCGCATTGGGGAATGGAGGCTGCCAGTAAGCCGTTGATGGGACCCATTGAATTTGTTCCATGTATCATTTGACAACCAGCAAGCATCACCAGGGAAACATCTGCATTCATTATTGAATGAAGCTTGAGCAACAATTTCACAAAGAGATGCTAAAGATAAACGATGAAAATTTGTATCTGAAAACAAGTTCTGAGTTCAATAAGTATTAAATTCTGAGTTGTCTGTTGATTGATTTCTTTCTATCATGTTCTTTCATTTGCAGATTTAATGTGAAAGTTTAATCTGAATTTTTCAATACTGATCAATAACAGGAATTGAGATGCTGATGATAATTAAATTGTTAACTCCAATTCCTAACACAGGATAAATGACAGGTGCCAATTGGCGTGACAGGGCCAAAGACTGCAAACAGGGATATTCTTAGAAATATCGGCTACATTAGGCATTGCTGTCGTCCTGAGGGAGTATGGATGGCATTTTGCATCCTCTTAGCAGTATATGCCAGCACAAAAGTTGTTGTACAGCGTTATACATTTCTATCTCAAAATGTCCATTTTACTCAGGAAAGAGTTGAAGAGATTTTTCACTGTTTAACTGTGTGACAGTAAACAAGGTTGGTTTGGCCATGACTGAGGACAATAGCCAAAGAGTAATTAGACCGTTAAATTCTATTTTACAACAGTATATCTCAAGAAGTGTCCGCAATGAGAATAGAGTGAGAACAAATGCGGAGTTAACTAGTTTTACCCCAAGGAATGACCTAGGGCTATGGCGTCTATAGCGGTTAATAATATTTAAGCTTAACTGATTAGCTGCCAACCAATAACCGTGCTTCCCCCGCTACTATGAAGGATGTAAAAAGAAAGTCCGATATAATTAAAACAAATATTAGAAACCGCCCACCACAAGCACAATTTATTTTAAGACATGAGTGACACTTGACCTAGCTCAGTTGCTAAAATATTTTCTACGTCTAGCAAGTCAATCTACTCCATCCTTGAGAAGGTGTTGCTAATGTTTTTATTCCCACTTTGTAAAATATACACTCTGATCAAGGCTGACAAAAGAGTATTTGTATTTAAACAGAAAACAGTTTTGCATTCAATAAGAAAACGTCCATCTTCCATGAGTGTAAGGCCGCTTAGAACAGCGACGAAGGATGTTAATAGGGTTTGCCTTGGGTGGCGCATTTCCTGATCTTAATTCATGAGCAACCCGGCCGGTTATTAATTACTCCGCATCAGCAGAACGTCAGCTAAATATTTAATCCAATGTAATAGTTACCCGCACCCGCGGCAACCAATGCTAGCTCCGATCTATTTAAACAGTCCAACTGCTGAGGTTCTGAAACCATCCATTACTTATTATTGACACATCTCGTCCCACTACCTCCCAATGCCAACGAGCACCCTGCGCTTGTCGCCACGATTCCTAGCATCCTCCTACGCCTCACTCCGTGCTGTACGACGTCCGCCCACAAGCCCCCTCGTCCCCGCAAGAATGTCAGGAACTGTGGCTGGCGTTAATCCAAAGGCAGAGAGGATACGTGAGTCTTGTTCCCTTTCTTTCCTTGGATATGTAGTTGCTAACGGGTTATTACATGAGTTAGGGAATCCGGCAATCTTGTATGTTGCTGCTCCCTTTCTGTTATTCTCCCGGTTTCATGGCTTTCAGGAAGGATGATTCTTCCTGGAGCGCAGTGAATGATCTGCTATAGCGATACAGCTTCTTCACCAGTCGCCGGGATAAACTGAGTTGGGAAAGAGCTGACAAGAGTCAATTTATGACTTTAGTATCTGCGATATCCAGGAGAAATTCCGTCCGGTTATCTTCGAGTACCCAAAGTTGTCAGTTTTCCGACCCCACCCTTAACCACCAACAAACAAAAAACACACCCTACAAAATCCCCCACAAAAATAGAATAGAAATAGCTAACACGATACACCAATCAGAATCATGACAACCATCAAACTCCTCAAGGCTTCCAAACTCCTCAACGTCCCCGTCTATATCACCACCCAAAACCGCGCACGTCTCGGGAACACCGTCTCCGAATTATCGCCCTATCTCGACCCATCCACGAATCCCAACGTCCGCGTTGATCTCGACAAAACCCTTTTTTCCATGGTAACACCTGAACTGAAAGCCTCCCTTCCACGGCAACGACTGGACGTGATCATTGTCGGCATCGAGTCGCACGTCTGCGTCACGCAGACAACGCTGGACCTGCTGGCGCTGGGCCATAAGGTGTACGTTGTTGCTGATGCGGTGAGCAGTATTAACCCAGAGGAAAGAGGGATTGCGCTGGCGCGGTTGGCAGATGCGGGTGCCGTAGTAAGCACCAGTGAGAGTGTGTTGTTTGAGATTATGGGGGATTCGAATCATAGTGTTTTTAAGCAGATCAGTGGGTTGGTGAAGGAGACTGGGGAGGATACGAAAAAGGCGTTGGGGGTGTTTTGTGGGAGTAAGATTTGAAGGTGATTTGGAGCTGGAATGGAATGGATGGAGTGGTTGCATGACTTCATTGGCGTCTGGTGTAGTTTTTTTTTCCTTTTGTCTATGAAGTATTTTAAAACAAGCTCGTTTTGTATTTGTCTGTCGAAAGAAGGAAACTATTATAAAAAAAAAAAAACTAAAAACTACCTTTCCTTTTTAATCAAACAACATAACCGGGTTCTGATTAATTGATCGGTGCCATAGTCGAACAAAAATCAGCAATCGTGTAGTTCCTTTCCTTCCGACAAATTGTGGCGAAGGATTCTTCAGGCCCCAAAATGGGCAACAAGGTGAGGCAGGAGCGGGAAGAGGTGAGGAAAAAGGCTCAAGAGCCAAAGGCGGTAAATCGGGATGGGACGGTGAAAACAAATTCCCATCGAGCGAAACAAACAGATTTACAAAGCCGTTTACAGCATCCTCGTCTCCTCTGGCAGACTGAGCAGGCCGCCGAAGGAGTCAGAAAGGCACGAACTCGGCGCGGACAAGACAAGGTAAAGAGACTGGACCATGGCCAGCCAAGGTGTCCACAAGGAAATTGAAGCAGCTAGCACCAGTAAAGCAGAGTATACAGGCGGGGTACCGCCTCCACATCTTCAGAGCAGGCCAGGAACAAGGGGAGCAAATATGAGAAAGGGGAAGAACAGGGATGATGGCAAAAAGCTAAGAAACAAAGGTTCCTAAAGAAATGATGGCCAAGTCATACCTAGGATGGGCAGAGAGGATGAGGGAAGGAGATAGGAGAATCAACACTCCTGTACGGGCCCATCAATAATCCTATCGACCTCTTCCTCGAGCATCCCTCTGCTGCACATTCTTTCCAGCGTGCTTCCAAACACGTTGCTGTTGCCCCTGTTCTAGGTGCCCGATTTCTCCACTGATAATATCCCACGGACTTGCAAAAAGAAACAAAAACCAAAACGCTTGTGAGGCAAACAAGAGGAAAGACGATGGCGTTTTCTTCATGGTTGCAGCCCCGGAAATATCGAAAAAGAGCTTAACACATCACCGCATCTCACAATACCATACCACATCCACACGCCTTCGTCGACATCTAAATCACATTCCAAGCGAAGTCACGATGAAGCAGGAAAGTGGAAATAAACTCGAGGTCTTTTCACTAAGGAGAGGGAGAGAATTATGCCCGCGGGAGGAAGAATAGGGGTCCGAATGACGTGAATTTTGAGGGATCCCGTAGGTATTTGGAAATGGGACTGTATATTGCTGGAGAATCGGCGAACAGGGTCTCTAGGTTCTTGCGTCCTCACGAACTGGGGAAGAATCGACACAATGACTGAGAAACAACAGTAGGGTTTCTCTGGGCAGATTGGCTCCTGTCGGAGTGCCATGGTATGGAATAAGGGCGAAGAAAATTTGGTTGGTTCGAAGCAATATCGCAGGGGAGGTTTAAAGCTACTGGATCGACATTCAAGAAATTTATATAACAGCAAGTAGGGACAGGTATAATGTATCATGTCAAACACAAACAGAGAACCATCCATCGACCCAAAAGTGGACGACAAACATGCGGAAACTCGAACGACAGACAACATTTGACCCCAGGCCTACAACTGCATAAGATGCACCTTCGCCGCCCTCCTAAAAATATTTTCGTCCGTAGCAGCAGCAGCGTTGCCGTTCATTGATCCAGCATCAACGTCAATGCCGGCACTGCCACTGGTTTTCCACTCGACGGCCCAATTCTTCAACGCAAACAATTCGTCGATCAACGCGGGCAGGAACGTACCGGGACCGTTAATGCCATCCTTCGCGGCAGCTCGCTCACCTGCAATCTCGAGCAGGAGGAGACTGGACAACACAGCGAGCAGCTTGTCATTTCTGTGCACGGCGAGAAAAGAGGCAGCCATTGTACCGATTATACAGCCGGTCTGGAGAATTGGAGAAGGTTTCGTTAGTGTCTGCTGCAGGACGGTAGGTGGCTTCAGGAGAGGGAAAGGTCAGCGGTGAACAGATATTTGAGGCCTTACACCTGTAATGTGGCCGAGGAGCTCGTGGCCATTTCCGATGGCGAGAACGCGTTCGCCGTCGCTGAGGTAGTCGACCCTACCAGTGAGAAGGACGACGTTTCCTGAGGGAATGAAATGTTATTATTATATTTTCGAATCCCACTGATGGCAACATGAGAAGTGTAATATTGGTGATAGGGGAGATGAAGAAATACATAATATAAAGGTGACGTAGTTGTTGCCTTCTTTGTGTGATTCGGGGTACAAAAAGTGTAGTGTCATCGAAAAAGGGTGAGTTGAAAAATGTAGCTTACTCTCACGTCTAGCAAGATCCCTGACAAGTTTCGCTTTTTCTCTGCGGCTCAAAATACTTGGCCCACTATCAACACCAACCTGACGCCAAGTGGTTTTACCGTAAACTTGAATCAGCTCGGATTCATTGCCTTTTATAACGTCAAAGTATCCACCAGCGAGCAGCTGTTTCACGGCCCTGCGGCGAATATCAGAAGCACCAGCCCCGACTGGGTCAAACACAACGGGGTTTCCTTCTGCATTATATGCCCGTAGCGCCTGTATGTAATGATCGATGGCTTCATTGTTTAGAGTTCCCATGTTTATCAATAAGGAACCCCCGTTTTTAGCTAGATCACTTGCTTCGGGACCATACCCGGACATAATTGGGGATGCACCACTACATGTAAAATAAGGTTAATCTTAGCATGGTAGTAATAATAGATGGGATCTTACATTGCAATAGCAACGTTTGCAGCAAAGTTAGCCACAACGAAGTTGATCATGTTGTGGCACAGCGGTCGTTTAAGAGCCACGGCACGAATAATATTCGGTACTTCATCTAATAACATAGCAACTTCATTTTCCCGCGGAGCGGCAGGGAAGGTAGCTGAAGCAGGAGTTTCTTTGACTAGCCTGCTAAACGCTGCTGCAGCTTCTTTCGGATTTTCTGCTGCCATAATTGCGCTGACAATCGCAGCACCATCGAGGCTCTTGAGTGGTGCTTGTGATTGGTAGATAACGCGTTGGACGTTGGACAGGTTGATACCTCCAATAGCAACGGTTCCAACTTTCCTGGGCATTGTAGAGAGAAATGCTAAGATTTCCTTTGTGCCAGCGGTCCCGATAATGGCCTTGGTATCGGTTTTTCTTCATCACAGTCAATTTCACGAGCCATAATTCGTAGATCTATAAGTTGCTAAATGTTGATAGGGAGGCAGGGGGCCCACAGGCGCATATGGCTTACGTGGGAGTTGCAAATACGGTGCCAATCCCAAGGTAGTCTGCACCATCTTCCACCGCCCGAAACGCTTCCTCGTTCGAACAAACAGTTGCACCGATATACGCATTTGGGGGTAGCAATTTTTTTGCTTCTGGTATCTCTAAAACAAGGGTTATTATAAGATTGGTCTGCTATCCACACCTTCTGGGGTCTACAACAGTGCAACTAACTCATGTCATCTTGCCCAAGATGGACTCCTTCAGCCCTAACAGCCAAGGCGACATCAACTCGGTCATTAATGATTAGAGGAACATTATACGCTTTCGTAATTTCATGGAGCTTCTTCGCCGTTTCAATTAAAACACCGGTGTCACTATGCTTGTCCCTATACTGAACAACCGTAACCCCTGGACATCACATCAAAATTAGTAAGGTAGCATATGAATGTGGCACTCAGCTCTACGCTCCGTCTTACCCCCTTCGATGGCATCTCGAACAATTTCACACAAATCTCTGTCTCCTAGGATGGCAGGAGTAGAGTCCGTCACCAAGTATACGGATAGGTCCATAGCTCTGTTTGGTGGGCAAGACTGCGCGCTCTGTTGTAGTGACGAAATTTTTTTACTTGTGATAGCGAATAATATGCTAAAATTGAGGGCAGGGGGGGATGAAAAGAAACAGCTTGAGTCCAAAGGATAGTATTTGTTGGTGTTCCTGTTGTGTTTAGGCATATTAGTAAATTCCTGGCTATCGTAGCAACCACACATCTGCTGAAAACCAAGTATAGTGAAGCAGCCAGAAAACTAAAGAATGTATATCTATTTCCACATATCTGAGACTTTTTACATAGAGCCAAGTTCAAGGTTGAAACTTAGAACGAAGAAAATACAATTTATATGGAATTCTATTACTGAGCAGGTTCCATCAATGACAAAATTTGCTGGGTATATTGACAACAGAAAATCATTAAGGAAGTATATCAACCAGATATGAAGATTTCATACGCATCAAAGAGAGGAATGTCACTTCAAGGAACCCAGAACTATGTTGTTGTACCTTGAGGTTTTATCAAATAAGGGATATGCTTTTGGATCTTTCAATTCGTGAAGTTCGAAAGTTTCGGAGGCGGAAGGAGATGTAGTTAACTATCTGATCGTAGATTTCGTAAAAATGGAATATGCCACAGCCCCATATACGTAATTATGTCAACTTGCAGCAAAGGGGATTTAAGAGAGAGTGAGAGAGGAAAAGAGGGCCTTGTTCACCTCATTTTCATCGTCTTCCTCAACTTCTCCATGTCTTATCAACGACTTTCTCTCGACGTTCAAAATTTCCTCTTCAGGTGGAGTGACATCACATGATTTTACACGTGATGCGACTACCCACATGGGGTTAGTCAGCAAGCCCAGGAATGAAGAAATCGATTTGCCGCATCCCGGATAGCCCGATTTGGCCACCGCCTTCCACTCTTTAATAGTCTTTTTTTTTTTTTTCCCCTTCCAAAGTTTCATCTCTCTATCTTCTTTTCCCATCTAACATCTTCGCTGTTAATACCTCACCTCAGCCCATCTAGATTGTTTTATCTCGTAACTGAGTTAACTGCCTCGAACTCCATCTATTCGGTGCTGCCCCCAAAGCTTCACTATTTCGTACTTTCTGCTGGGATATCCCGTTGTGTCAGGCCAGCCCACTTTTCCCCCCCAGGTCTCTCTACGCAAGCATTCTGCCACGAAGCTGGATAGAGCACCTGTCTATGTATTCGCCCTACGTCAACGCTTTCGAACACCACTTGCCGCTCAAGCTGCAACCTTTTCGCCCCGTGCGAAAACCTTGTAGTTACCATTCTAGATCGTGTGGTTGAGATTCACTTCGCCTGAGCCACATCTCCGATTGATCCCTCCATCGACCGATAGAAAGGGAACTTTTTCTCTTTCCTTATACGCCCCCAGATATTCACGGATACATTTGTGATACGCATCGCATGTCTTGTAGCAATCGCATGCCATTCTCTCAGGCTCTCCTCGTGTTTCGCCCTTTATTGCCCGCATATATAGTCTTTTGAAGATCTTGTCTTTCTTACTCTCACCATGGCTGCCACTGTCAACATCCGTCGGGTAAGCTTTGCGCTGTACCTTTTGTTCATACTCTAGGTCCCTGTTGTATTAGACTTTTTCTTACTTTGGTATAATAGGACAACCCCGATCCGTTTTATCGTTACAAGATGGAACGTCTCCAGGCTAAGATCGAAGGCAAAGGCAATGGAATCAAAACGGTCGTTGTTAATCTCAACAACGTCGCTCAGTCCTTGGGTCGCCCACCTGCCTGTAAGTACTCTATATTTTTCGTCTCTTTTTATCCAGCTAATAGCAGAGCTAGAAGCATGCCAAGTCCAATGTAATGCTAACTCTTGGGAATAGACCTGATCAAGTACTTCGGATTTGAACTTGGGGCTCAAGCAAACGCTAAACCAACTGATGATCGCTGGATTATTAACGGAGCTCACGATGCCCATAAGCTTCAAGACTACCTTGATGGGTTCATCACCAAATTTGTGCTGTGCAAAAAATGCAAGAACCCAGAAACCGAAGTCGTTGTTAAGGACACCCGGATCATTCTCGATTGCAAAGCCTGTGGTGAAAGATCTGATGTTGATCTTCGTCAAAAGCTAAGCACCTTCATTTTGAAGAACCAGCCAAAGAAGGGTAAGAAGGACAAGTCAACCAAGAAGGCTCGCAGGGAAAAGAAGGGTAAGACAGACGGAGAGGCAAACGGAGATGCCAACGGAGAACCAAATGGTAGTCCCGTTGATAGCAACTCCGAGGGGGCAGAGGAAAATGGTGACGAAGCTCTCGATGCCCACAGCGACGATGAACTTACTCGCCGCATCAATGCAGAAGCCAATGAAATTGAGCAGACAAATGAAATCGACGACAATGACTGGGCAGTTGATGTGTCTGCTGAAGCTGTCAAAGCTCGTGCACAGGAGCTCCCCGACGAGCTGAAACGCTCGCTCGTCTTCGACGACAATGATGAAGACGGTGAGGGCGACCATGGAGCGGCTACTGCATACGACCATCTGGGCAGCTGGATCATCAGCTCTGCAGAGGCTTGTGAGGAGGGTGTCTCGGGCGTTAGTGACATTGATATCTATAAAAAAGCTAAGGAGCTTGGCATTGAAACAAAGCATAAGACCCTCGCCGTCTTGGCTCAAACCATGTTTGACGACAAGATTGTTAAGCAAATCCCACCTAGGGCTGCTATGCTCAAGAAGGTACTGTAACATCCGTTTAAATAAATTATTTTAACTTGACTGCGGACATAATACTAATATGGTTCCTTTAGATGATCACTTCTGAGCGCCATGAGAAAGCTTTCCTTGGAGGTACTGAGCGTTTGGTTGGAATTGAACGCCCCAACCTTATCCCAATGGTCCCAGCCATCCTGCTCGCCTATTACCAGGAGGATCTCATTTCTGAGGAAGTTCTTAAAGCCTGGGGATCGAAGGCCAGCAAGAAGTACGTCGACATCTCCACCAGCAGAAAGGTTCGGAAGGCTGCTGAAAAATTCCTGCAATGGCTCGAGACTGCTGAGAGTGATGATGATGACGATGGGGATGAGGAATAGAATGATAGTTTGAAGTGTGACCTTCCTGGTCACACAAAAGTGACGCTCCTTAATAAGTTTCTTATTATCACATGTTGCCACTCCATTCCCAGTTTGATTTGATTTTCTATTTTTCTGCCCTATTTTATATATTTGATGTCGGCATGCCTAATTTGCTCTCCGATGCACCGGTTTATTGGCCAAATCTTCTGTGCCATCCGGACTGCGGATTAAGCATTTAATCTTATACATTCGCGCTCAACTCGCTTAATTGTTTTTGAAACTCAGTTTGGATGAGAATGTTCTGGTGGTGTTAAAATTGTTCAACTCAATTTCATACATTCGTTTGTCATAAGTATACCCCTTATGATTGCAGGAATCAAATTACCATTTCTAGGTTGCAGTTTGACTGTTTTACTATTATCCTTCTGTCCAGGTGTATGCTGTTTGCCCGGGTGAATCATAGACAATCCCATAGCAAGTAAAGGAATCATGGTAAGTAGAGTATGTAGATGGCCCATGGCTTCAGAAGTATCCAAAGTGTCTTTGTGCATGATATTGTTACGTAAACGGCATGACTGGTTTCCTGTATTTCGTCGCAGATTTTAACACCCTATCAAACTAAATCAACTAGTTTCGCCAACGGCCATGAGCCATTTCCCTTTCCTATTCCCCTTCCCGTCCAAAGCAACTCTATCTGAATATGTTCCTTTGGCCTAGGATTGCATCTCCGTAACATCTCGCCAATCCTCTTCTCTACATTCCGTTCGGCCCTCCGAAGTTTGTCAGTAGCACCATCCCTCGCACCACCATCACCTCTACCCCTCCTCCTCTTCGTGAAAATAAACCAAGTTAAATCGGCATTCCACGCATCCATTGTTCGAATGGCTCTATCAATTTCTCCCCTTGACTCTTCTTGTGCCCACTTCTCCGTCTTTTTCTTCTCATCTAACCCCATATGTTCACGCCATGCACCTGTGAAGTAGTAATCGGGCTTGTAGAACGAGACTGCTGTACCGAGACACTCGCAGATATCATCACTGATATCGTCAGGCAGACGGACGTGGGAGAGCATAGTTGTGAAAAGATTTGTTAAAGCCTGGAATAGGGAGTGATGGGGGGTAAATAATTTCTTGTTTGGTAATGGTGGTGGCTGCGGCGGTGGATTGGACTTCAGTGTTGGGGCCACGGCGGTGGATACGGCAAGTTTGCCATCAATAGAACTATTACCATTGCCAAGTGTTATTAATCCTAGCTCTGGCCCGGTGCGAGAACCGAGGAGCTCCTGCTGCCGTATTCGCAGCTGCTGGCGCTCTGCGGCCTTCTCTGAATCATGCCGCACTTGCTCCCAGGACCGGAGGTAGAGTTTCTGCCAAAGCGGGTATTCATGTTCAATACGGGATGACATGAAGTCGCCGGCTCCTTCGCAAATAGCACCTATTGCAGAACAAGCTGCGACAGTTACAAAAGTTTCTTCCTGTATGCCGGATTCGTCGATGCTGGTTGGGCTGTTTCGGGTTGGTTTGGGGGCAGTATTCGTTGTTGTAAGCGACGTGGAATCGGAGAGGAAATTTGGTGAGAGGTTGATGCGTGCGCTAATGGATGGCCAGAGGTCGTTGATCAAGGGCAAGAAGGAGTTTTCGTCATGAGAAAGAACAGGTAACGCCCGAGTTAGAATGGATAGTAACGAACGCCTTAAAAATGGCGACGGCGAGGACAAATGGGGCGGCATAGATTTGGCTATGTCTAAGAGTAATTTGTGAGAACTGCTCAGTGGCTTTTCTTCTTCAGTGG